TCTCCAGATACATTTAAATGTAAATGTAATGCTCACATAGTAGTGGTACCATTATAAAACCACACAATTTCCAAACTACATTTACAGTACTTCACATCTCTATGTATGCTGGCACTGAATGTTCCCAAGCAGGTTGTTGTTTTTTTAAGTTTGTGTTAACAAGTTTAAACACAGTTTTCTTGATCTGTCTAGAACGATCACTATTTTAGAAACCCAGGTTCCTTCACATGCTCTAGGGTATTTGGCATAATATGACCTTCTACCCTAAATCAGGGCATTCTTCAGGGATATAAACTGAAACCTTGAACTGATCCAAGCCAGATTCCCACCCTGATTTCCAAATAGTGTATCATCATCCAACTGAGCATAGAACACAAGATAGTGAGTTGGTTAGGTTTTGTCTAGTCTGGCCAGGTGAACTATGTTTATGTTACCTTAAACAACAGCTCCACCGCAAGTCTTTCCACAGTAGCAGATGAGTCCGAATGTCAACCTAAGGAGCAAAGTTCAAGATCCTGAAGAGTCCAAGGCAATAAGCCATCAGGAAAAAAATCCAGTTAAAAAGAAAGAGGGGAGGAAGGGGAGAAGAAGCAAAAAAGGGAAATTATGCTCATTATTTAAAAATTCTATTAAGTAAAACAGCAAATAGCTACAAAAAAAGTAAAGAAAAGATCACTAAATGTCTTGTCTATATCTAGAATTTAGATATAGGTAGCTAATAATCAATGTGGTTGTACTGATGCAAACCCCAAGTACTGGCAAGGAAACCCAAGTCAGTTAAATCACACTAGGATGTGTGAACATATTGTTTCCAATATCCTCTACAAAGAAGAGATCTGCCTGAGCTCTTTCCTAATCCATTTGCTGCCAGCCTGTTCTTTGGAAGGAAATGTTGTTCTCTGTGTTTCTCCACATTTCTTTCTTTTTCTCTGGCATCCTCTATTATAATATTTGAACAAAATGGAGAACAGTAGTACAGACAGTTTAAGTAATTTAAGTCACACAGGAAGCCTGCACTACATCTGGGAACAGAACTCAAGTTTGAATCAAGTGTCTTTACTGAAAGGCTATACTTCTTATGGGGGAAGAAGATTCTTAGGTTCTATGAACCACATGACCAACTCATAGTTTAGATGGCATAGAAAAGTAAGGAGCATCAAGGATAGAAGTATTTTCATGAGTGTATCCTTGTTCTTGTCCCCTCCATGCACTGTCCCAAGAGCACCCTGTGCATGCCCTTTTGGGGTGGTCTTACAGCTGTAACAGTTCTTCTCTATGCAATACTAACTTGCCAGAGAACTTCAGCCCAAAACAGAGAGTGTCTCTGTGAACATGTAGTCTACTATGGCTGATTTCTGACTCCTCCCCTCTGGCTGGCCACATACACCAATTTTTCGTGGAGACTCAACCACATGTTGTTGGTACAGAGGATTATTTACTTATCTGGAGCATGGGAAGAAGTACATTGTATTAACTCAACCCCTCTTTTCATAGCAGGAGATTTAAAATATATACACACACACACACACCGACCGACTGACATTTGCCCACCAGGTGCACAGCATTCTGTTACAGCACAAGAGGCAAACCATATAAGTTTATACTAAAGATGAAAATCAAGCATACACAACACACACTTCTAATGGCTGGGCTGTATACTGATGTATGCCATCTAAGCTATATATCAGATGTGGCCAAACTCACATACCCTCCCAGCCATGTACAACTATCTTCAGAAATTCATGAGCTGGGGCATGCCTGATGGGTCTCCAGCCCTGCTTCTGATGAAGTCCCAAGAACCCCCCTCCCTGCTGAGAAGAAGCCCTGAAACCTCCCCACTCCCCCATTGGCACAGAAGCCTCTTCTCACCCTACTATATGGCAGAGGTCCCACACTCCCTCTCAGTTTGGTAAGTGGAGAATGGGGGGAGGGACTGTGGAGGATCAGAGCTGCACTTGAAAAAAAGCCTGATGTGGTTGTAAGCCACAGTTTGGCCACCCCTACTACATATGATACAAGAGGAAAGATGGCATAATCATTTTCTAATATTTAGACATGTATAAGTCATCTGCAACCAATCATACTGCAAGCTGTAGAGTCCTTTCAAGCAATTATTTCATGTTACTGTTTCCCTGTCACGTTGTGTTATTTAAAAAAAAAATCCCTGATTTGCAAAGACACACAGATGTCTCTACTGAGCAACAATGTAATCTCATTTCTGTAGCTCATTTTCCTCTTTCCCATTCCAGATGTATATAACAGCTTCACTAGTTTGACAAATCCACCATTAGTGCATGAGTGCTTTGGATCAGGGAACTATTATGTTCACTGTACATTGCACAGTACACTTGTGGGCACTTTATATTATGAAATAAAAAATTTCTGCTGAGTTTATGTTCCAACATATGGGGCGAGGGGTTTGGTATCCCTTGCTGTTTTATTAGGAAGAGGACTGCAGCTGGCAGGAGGTTGTCAAAACAAGTAATTAACCACTAAAATAATTTACTAAGAAGCCATGGTAGATTTTTTTTTAATTATTAATGGCAATTTTTGAATCAAGATTGGATACTCGTCTAAAACACAGGCTCCAAGGATTATTTTGTGGATGTCAAATGGCCTATGTTGCACAGGAGGTCAAACTAGATGATCAAATGGTGGCAATCAACCTTTTATCTTTGTGGAGCAGATGATCCCTTTTAGAATATGGAGGAACAAAGGTGCAACAGCCTCTAATCACAATACCACCAGCTCCCAAAACTGGTAACACAGCTGGAAGGGAACATTAGGACCTTGATAGTATCACCCAGAGCTAGTTTCACAGTTTTACAGTAATTATATTTACGTAAAAACAAAACCACACACCTATTAAGTTACCAAACAAAAAAAAGTCCACACCCTAAAATTAAGTTAATTATATAGCTTAACTATCAATGCCCTCAGGAAAAGCACTAGGAAAAGGTTTGACCATATCCTAAAGGTCAACACACTCTAGGATCCATCAGGCTAGCAACAGAAATTCCAAAGCTGAAGCCAGTCTATCAAAAATATCCTACCACCAAGCCTTCAAATGTACAAAATGCTCGAGAGAATACCTTAGCCGCCCTCAACTAACTCAAAACATACATGCAGAGAAGTTGTTTCGCAAGAGGCCAAAATCAAATCCTATAGGTCTTTAGAATAAATAAATAAAATAAATATCAACAGCCTGAATCACACTCAGAATCAATTAGGAAGCTGGTGCTACCCTAGGAGATCTGGTGTAATAGGTGGAAAAGGTATAAAAGGTTCAAAGAGTGCTACCTTTGGAGAACTGGTGTAATAGGTTTTAGGTGACGGGCACTGCCAAGGAATCACAAAGCTGAATTCTGAGCAAAAAGACACAGAAAGCACTAACACAATGTTCCAGTACAACTTATATAGCTAAACTAATTTAAAATAGCTACATGAAAGAGATTTCGGAAGAACTTTCACGTTGTTCATCCAAACTGAAGCCTAATCTTTAAGAGCAATGAGCTCTATGGATCAGCCTTTGTTACTAAAAGGTAAATAACATCCTCTCAATGCATTTCACACCTCAGTTACATTCAGGAATTAAATTTCACTTCACATCAAAGAGCCCTGATCATATATGCCACTCACACAATTGTTCTTAAAGAAAGCCACTAAAGGTGAACCACAAGCTACAGTTGGGAGGTGGAATTTGAATGTCTTTATAAAACAGTCTTAGAGAGCTGAAGTCACCAAAGACTTCTTCATGGAATCACTATGACAGATGTCTAAATCTCATATGTAATAGTATCTTAATTCCATCAACAGTGTTTTGCTATTGATTTTATATCTGATTAAAAAAACTGATATGGCTCTGGAGTGGCTCACATGGAGAATATTGTCTTTTGTCACTAACACAAAACAACAACCCTTCAAACCCTGAAAACCATAGCATTGTTGATTTATTTTCACAATATAGAGCTTAAAATCACGTGTTTTTTCACAAAATTCTATTAACTATTGTAGAACAACAGTAGCAATTTCCCATAAGTTTAAATATGTCAAATGATTTAACTGTTTAAAATACCTTTACAGGCAGTCCCCGAGTTACGCGGATCCGATTTATGTCAGATCCGCAGTTACGAACGGAGCCGTCTCCCTGGTCTCCAGCAGACCAGGGAGAGGAAGCAAAGCGGCGGAGCACGCGGGCAGCGGACAGCCCAGACGCGTCTGGGCTGTCCGCTGCCCGCGTGCTCCGCCGCTTTGCTTCCTCTCCCTGGTCTGCTGGAGACCAGGGAGACGGCTCCGTTCGTAACTGCGGATCTGACATAAATCGGATCCGCGTAACTCGGGGACTGCCTGTAAAGGTATTTTAAACAGTTAAATCATTTGACATATTTAAACTTATGGGAAATTGCTACTGTTGTTCTACAATAGTTAATAGAATTTTGTGAAAAAACACGTGATTTTAAGCTCTATATTGTGAAAATAAATCAACAATGCTATGGTTTTCAGGGTTTGAAGGGTTGTTGTTTTGTGTTAGTGACAAAAGACAATATTCTCCATGTGAGCCACTCCAGAGCCATATCAGTTTTTTTAATCAGATATAAAATCAATAGCAAAACACTGTTGATGGAATTAAGATACTATTACATATGAGATTTAGACATCTGTCATAGTGATTCCATGAAGAGCTGATCAGTTTCAGCAGCAGCTGACTTGGGGGTCTTAAGTTGAATCTGTATGTAAGTCAGAACTGGTGTCCAGATTCAGCCACTGTTGAAACTGATCAGTTTCAGCAGCGGCTGAATCTGGACGCCAGTTCCGACTTACATACAGATTCAACTTAAGAACAAACCTACAGTCCCTATCTTGTACGTAACCCGGGGACTGCCTGTATAGTAGCAAAGTCCTTCAGAGCAGACACAAATTCTTTCTATTAAATCTTCATGAAAAATTCAAGTGTTACCTATTAGTTGATAATATATTTAAAACAAAAAAAATCCACTTACCCAATCCCTTATTATCTATCAAGCATGTCCCAAAAGAGTTTCAGGAAAGCCATGACATCACAGCATTATACAGTAGAACAGGAACCAGCTGCTGTGATTTTGGGAGATAATCAAAACAATAATCACTTCTATAACGAACCTTCTCTTCCTTTTCATTATTGACACACTATGTAAAAATCCTTCCTATATCGGACTTGCAGATCCTCTTAAAAATTACAAATTTCTTAGGCCAGAGAAGGTCATTAAAGTAGAGTAATAAAAGTTGTTTGAAAAGGGAAGAGACATTGTAGTGGGGACTAAAACTAGAAGAGTCAGTTTCTACTGACATGGATTATGAAGATCCTACTGCCTTCATTAATTTGATAATTGTACATTTTATACAAAAGTCACATTTTATATATACAGTACTTACACTTTAAAGTAACACTGATCTGCTAAAAATAAAGTTCTCAATTAAAACTTTACATCTACCTAATAAAGCAACATTCCTTTCTGTATGATTAATGCTAATATAAAGGCTTCCTGATTGATAGATATTTGCTACAACTACCCCTTCTTATATTTTCAAGCCAAATAGGATTACCAGTCTCACCTCTTGCATAACATAAGCCACAGAAACTTTGCAGAAATTTCTGTATCAGCCTCATAACTTCCATTTAAACTATAGTTTGGAAAAAAGAGAAGACAGAGGGGACATAATAGCGGTTTTCAAGTACCTAAAAGGGTGTCACAAGTAGTTGGGGAAAATTGTTCTCCTTGGCCTCTGATGATAGGACAAGAAGCAATGGGATTAAATTGCAGCAAGGGAGGTTTACGTTGGATATTAGGAAAAACTTCCTAACTGTCAAGATGGTTAAATGCTGTAATAAATTGCGTAGGGAGGTTGTGGAATCTCCATCACGGGAGATATTTAAAAGCATGTTAGACATCTATCAGGGATGATCTAGACGATACTTGGTCCGGTTGTGAGGGCAAGGGACTGGACTTGATGATCTCTTGAGGTCCCTTCCAGATCTAATATTCTATGATTCTATACTACATTTTAAAAAGGCATTCATTTTAGATACTTCAAGATGATGGAGAATCACCCACATCTCTAGATAATTTGTTTCAGCGGTTAGTTACTGTTAAAACAATTGTCTTGTGTTTCCAAGGCTTTTTTTTTTTTTTTTTTTTTGCTACAGTGAGGAACCATCTACTATCAGGAATCTCTTCCCGACGTAGATATTTGTAGACTATGACCAAGTCACTTAAAAATTCTATTAAAACACATGTTGAGATATCAGAGAAGGTTAAGTGAGGACAACTAGACATTAGTAGTCAAATAACAGTTCTAATGCAAAATTCAGGGGCAATTCCACCTCCATAATCCTAAATTGGTATTTCCCTGTTTATGCATTCAACAATCAAATTTGTCCTCTTAATAAACAGAATGACCAGAATGGTTTTGTAGTTATCTACCACTACTATCTTAAGAACTTTTCAGTGTTGCTGCATTCTAAGATACTGTCTCCCATGTTTAAGTGTAACTGGCAAACATGTGTGACCTTGTATTTGGCCATATTTAAAATGCATGTTATTCAAATGAGTCCTCTTCACCAAACTATCCAGATTAGTCTGAATAGCTGACTTGTCCCCAGCACTTTTTGACACCTCATCAAGTTGTATCATCTGCAAATGTTATGAATAATGATTTTATATTTTCTTTATTGATAAAGACATTGAATAGCATTGGGTCAAAAAAAAAAAACTCAGAAACACCACCACAGAATGAATCTCCATTTAGAGTCAGTTTTTAAAATCATGTAACCAGTTTTTAATCCAGTTAACATGGATGACATTGACTTTGTACAAAGCTATGAACTCATCCTAGTTCAAATTGTATTTTGTTCACTGACATCTACTCTATTTGTATTTTATAGTGTCACCAAAAATAACCTCAAAATTCTCTCACATGGAAAACCTATATGAATTTATGATAAACATAAATAATAATGTAATGCTGATATTCCATCACCATGTCTCTCATCATTGTAGCTCCTATTCAACCATCTTAACACATGCCAAACCCCACTGGAGTCAAGAGGAGATTGTGGTGTGCAAAAACAAACATCATGGGCCTTAATTTGCATTTTAAAATACAGTAACTATTACTTTTTTTCTCCTCAAAAAAGCTGCTTTTAAAAAAGAGGTTATACTAGTCACTGTTCTTATTAGTTATAACAGATGTACTCTTTTCAGAGTCTTTGTAAGGGAAACTTCTGAGAAAATATGATTTTTCAAAACCTGCACCACACAAATACTACTGCAATGGTGAAAGTTTGTCATCATTTTACATCATTATTGTTAATGTAAGATGACTATTCAAATGGCTTCAAAATATAAGAACAATTTTCACTGCTTGTTAATGAGGTGAAGTTCACAGCACTAACCCCCACAAATGATATTCTTGTCAACATGCAGAGGCCTGTTCCTGTCTCTCCATTTGTTAGCTATACTTTATAAACAGTTCCCCTTTTCGGGCTCATCTTCTATAAACAACTGAAATGTATTTTTCTAAATTCAAACACTTCTTACAAAAAGAGAGGCAGTGCAAGAGTATGCAAAATTGCAAGTCCAAAATGGGAAATATCTTCTAAAGTCAACATACATAACATATAAGAAAGATGACAGTGCACAAGTATGCAAAAATTGTTTAAAGCCTTGCTGGGCCGATATAATTTAAGGCGTAAAACCAAAGCTCCAATACACTTTCACATTAAAGATGTCATGACACTTTTCACAAGAGTAAGGATGTGATTTCCTGGCATCTTGCCCAAGTTTCAAGTTTTGTCAATTACCTCCCCAAATGCCCCCTGTTGTTTCAATTAGACATGGTATTCTTCTTCACTTCCCATCTTGAATTACTGTGGACTGTTGCTAAGCCTGGTTAACAGCTGCCACATTTCACCCAGAGTTGGCTGCATCTTAGTGGTTGGTAAAACAATTAGAAATAGAACATGCACATAGAACCTAAAAGCACTTTAAGATCTTTTGGAATAAAATATGAAACATAAAAGAAAGGCACACTACTCTTTTTATTTTCATCCAGGTTAGATAACAAAAAATCCTTGACAATATGTAATGGAATTGTGGGGAAAGACCCTTTAGATTGTCTTGTTTATCCCACTACTAATGCTCAACTGTTTCCTACAGTTTATTCTAGAGTACTATTTCAGTCTAGTTTTAGATGACTCAGCAGTTTACAGCTATCTCAAGACTCCCCCACATCAATTAAAAAAATATTTTGCTCACAGTTATCCCATAGCTCGTAGACTTATCTGTTTGAATTATGCTAAACAATTCCTCTTCTTCCTTGTGTTTACAAAGTGCAGAAACCCAGTTCCACTGAACTTTCAAGGACTAGAGCTAATATTTATGGTCTTAAGAGAACTTTGAACTAGCCCTGATTCAGGGTGTGTTTTGAATTTCTGCAAACATTTCACATAGCTATACTATCATCCCTTTGTTCTGTGTTATAATGCCTCTGCACACAATAATAAAAAATCTCATTTTTAACCATTATGTCATAATACAAGCTCAATATTCAACTTGCCCGTTATCTTTCAGCTCTCTCAATATTCTTTTTGCAATACAATATACACATAGTGCAATTGCAATGTACACCAAGGGCTAGATTCAGAAGGAGTTTAGGTTGGAGGGACTTAGGATGTCATGCCTAACTTTTAGGTAAGATGCTAGAAAAATCAAGGGGACTCACCAAGCCTGGGATAAGAACCTAGTCTCCCTATACAATGAATGGGAAGGAAAGATTCCTGAAAATGGGATTCACAAAAACCAGTGTCCTAGATAGCTCCTTGCCAGCACTAGTCAATGGAAGATGCCAAACACCTGTCTGTCTCTATCTCTCTCTCATATAGGTACCTACATCCAGCTCCAGCAAGGTATCTCCCTCTGCTGGGGATTCTTATCTGTAAACCCTTTCCTGGCACAGGTCACCTACAGAGTTTTGGCACAAAGCCCAGGGCAAAGGAGGACATATCAACTCCCTTATAACTTTTAGCCCAGTGGTTAGGGTAGCTTCCTGGGATGTGAGAGACCTCCCATTCAAGCCCATCCTAGGAGAAGGGACATAAACTGTGATCTGCCATCTCTCAAATGCATTTCCCTAGCCACTGGATTATGGGATATTGTGATGTGGGATTCCCTAAGTTTCTCCCATTGAAGCTGTTCCATGGTGATAAATACTTAAGAAAAGTCATTGGAGCAGGGGGACTGGATACGGAGTCTCCCACATCACAGGTGACTGATCTAAACACCAGGCTATATTGTCATTCTTATTCTTGCTGGCTTTGTCTGGCATAATGATTCTTTCACTGTTTATTCACAATGCAACACCTTCAACCACATGAGAACATCCCATATCCCAGTTAGGGCACTCACCTGATGTGTGAAAAATCCCTTCACCCTCTCAATTATGTCGTAGTGGTCTCTCACATGAGTACTCTAACCACTGGACTAAAAGCTGAGAGAGCACTACTCCCAAAGTTTGTGCAAGCTTGCCTATAAGGACCCAAACCAGTAGGCATGCTCAGAGTGCACCTACTGGACTGGGCCTTGCAGGCAAGTCAGGCAGGCAAACACTTATTTTTCTCCCATTTGTCCATCCATCTGAGACTTGGCTATCCAGATAGCTGAAAAGGGCTGAAACATGAATGCTAAAAGGCAAAACTTTACTGAAAAAAATGAGGTGGCAAGTTTACATCTATCAAGCTGTGTAAAGATTTTTAGATATCAGTGAGACCTGATTCTGGGATTCGGACATCTAATGTGGCAGCTAGGCCACCTACTCCTTTCACAAATCTAATCCTACTGCCTTATTACCTACTCCCAATATTTCTGATAGGCTGTAATACTGTAATCATCTAGGGTGAAAAAATGTAAGGAATCATGCAAAGTATTTTATACAAATATTTATTTTATTAAACAATTTAACAATACATGCTTTCCAGACACTGAAATTTCAAGACTATGTAGCATATTTTTAACCTTGCTGTACAGTTGTACTTTCAGGTATGAAACCAAACCCCTGTTCACAGTTAAGCATACACTTAATTGCACTCATGAGAGGAGTCCATAGTTTCTGTAGAACTACCTATATAAGTAAAATTTTGCATATGTTTAGATTCCAACTCTGAAAGCATGAGATATTTTTTAATCTTATCTCCTGAAAGGCTGGGGAATTTTATAAAGAGATTTTTTTCTTCCTTTGCAAACACAATACAATCAAAACAAACCAATTCCGTAGCATTTTGTTTTAACAGACCTCCACTATCAATTTCTCTTGGATAAGGGTTTATTAATGTTTTCATAGAAAAAAAAGTTTCTATATTCCATCATGGGGAAGTAACATTGAATTAGTGTTCACATAATAGGTTTGGCAATCAATGCAAGGCCTTCACATTTATTTATAGGTCAAATAACAAACAAAAGAGGAAAAATAAGAGAGACTATACTGTATATTTAGGGCTTTCAGATGAAAAGCTGCTGAAATCCTTTTACCTGTCCTTCAACTTGTGAGGGCTTTGTGAAGTGCCACCCAAGCTCTCTCTTATCAGGTCAAGTGCAAGAAACTATTGTCCATAGGAGTTAATGTCTATTGAGTGTATTAGCTCTAAATAATTATAAAAAAATCCTTCATTTGTGACTTCCACTAACCTCAGATTATGAAAGAGTGCTGTTCTCTTTAATATCTCTTTATGTATCATTTTAAATTGTTTTGTTATATTTTGTCTGAATTGTGTTATATTTGTATGAGAAAACAAAAGTAAGTAATGTATTTCCCTAAAACCATTCTTTCATGGGGAACCCACCAGTGTCACTAATTCTGGGAAACCATAAGGCATGTTTTGATCTCTCACTTTCAAAGTATTTGCCAAAGACAGTAAATATTTATGGTTCTGATCCTACAAACACATATGTGCTGAACTTTTAGGTATGTAACCTAATGTGCTTAAAGTTCAGTACACACATAAGTGTTTGTTGGTTTGGGGCCTACATGAGCACAACATACTTTGGAATTTGAACACTTCTCCATGTAAAACATACATGATGGGTTCAAGTTTTCTTCTCGGATATTTCAAACTAATAAAAGGAATATTATGAATAAAAGGGAGGAATTTTCAAGTTAGTCGGATGCCTTTTGAAAACTGCATCCCAATTCGACTCAAAACCAGTTTCCTAAACTTATTTTACACAAGCAAAGAATTCAGGCAAGTGAGAGTAAGAGACCATAAAGGAAATCATGAAAAGAAAGCCAGCTTGTACTTCAAAGTGACAGGGGGTACCCTGTACTCTAGCAGACCTATTATCAGAAGCATTTGTCCCGTTTTTATTATGTGCAGCTACTTAAACTAAGCATAGCTGGACAATCCATATAAGTAAAGCCAGCAGCCAAAAGAAATTAACCAACTGCATTAGCAAACTACTATGCAGCCATCATCCCATTATGTATCTATCCCTTGCCTCGTGTGTCAGAGTAAAACGACGGTCACCTCCAACTGTCAACATCACAGCGGTGTGTGCACACAGCAAATGATCCAAACCCAAGCCATACAGCCACAAGGAATCCCCCGCGCGCCTTCACTGTCAAAATACGGGCTCGGACGGGTCTGCCGTCAACAAGCCCCACCCGAGGGGGCC